CTTACATTCATGATTACTCAAGAAAAGTTCATGTAATTTTTGTCAAGGGTATGTGTATTGGGCTTGTACCCCACACCCAAGCGAAATTACGGGGAACAACGAGAAGGTTGTTCCTCCTCTTACATAGCCAGAGGGTTGTTAGATAACAATTGTTTATACACATACTGGTCTGAGCCTTTTTTTATAATCTATTCCTTGGTTGTCGTTGTGAATCATCTTGAGCTGACAATAAGAAATACGCTGAAGCTATAGTTCCTAAAGGGCTGAAATAATTAGTATAGTACAGACCATAAAATTCGCTCTTGCTCAAGGTCGGAAAAGATTTATGTCTTATATATCATATAGCCTCACGCTTATTGAGTTGGCAAACAAAGACTTGTTTATATGCTTCGCATTGTGTATAAGTCTTCTGTTCTGTTTAAGTGCTTTTTTTATGTACGTTAAGTAACTCTGTAATCAGAACAGTTCTGTATCTTTAAACATTCGCTAGCTTTCACTTTAGCAAGTTATAATAAGGTAACTATGAGTAATCTCAATATAACAAATAAATTAGTAAAGGAAATTATTTTTGTGTTGGTTATTTCTTTGTTTCTTATCTGTTTTAATTATTTCTTGTGTTTCTTATCTGTTTTAATTATTTCTTGTGTTTTTTATTTGTTTTAATTATTTCTTGTGTTTTTTATTTGAGCTGGTTATTTCTTTGTTTCTTATATGTTCTGATTATTTCATGTTTTTATATATTTGAACAAGTTATTTCTTTGTTTTGGTTATTTAATGTTTTTCTTATTTGTTTAATTATTTCGTGTTTTTTATTTAAGCTGGTTATTTCTTTGTTTTTTATTTGAGCTGGTTATTTCGTTATTTCTTATTTGTTTTGAATATTTCATTTTTTTATTTGCGCTGGTTATTTCATTATTTCATATTTGTACTAGTTCATGTTTGACCACGAATATAGAAGTTTTCTTCACAAAATTTGATTACCCTGTTCACATATAAAATATTTCAATAAAGATATATCCATAATGAATTTATGTTTAATTTCCATGTTTTGAAGAAACAACCAGAGGGCATCACTTTAACTTAAGTGAATGAATAGATTAAACTGATATAGGTATTTTTTTGTTTTTTGTTTACCTTTTTTTGTATTAAACTTTGTGACACTGTAATTAAAAAGTGATCCTGATCAAACAACTTTATGCCGATATTTATTTAAATTTATCCTACTTTTAGATAAACTATAACTGTTCAGAAGTATCCTATTATTAACAACAATATATTCACAATTCCTTAATGTTTATGAGCTACAAAATATGTTATGCTGATATATATATAATGCCATATTTGATGTACTTACTCTTATTTCTTTTTCAAATACGTGTCACAGACTCACACAAAACATACGCGGATGAATTCAATATCCACTATCAGTGTAAATTAGTAAAAGATAATAACAGAATACGTAACGCGAAGACTCTTTCTCAATGGAGAGAATAATATATAAACATATCTCATGAATAAACTAATCAGAAAAAGAGTAAGTGCCAAAGCTACCATGATTTACGACTGTAATTTCTTATACTGCCATTGTTCCAAGATCACGCACGAAGCAGCAGACTGATGGTAAGAATGATGATAATTGGTAATTTTCGTGAAGTACTGACAGAAAAATGGAAGGAAAGGTCTTCCGCTTCTCCTCCTCCTTCTTAGGTACTTGCTTTAAATTCTTGTATTGGTTGAGATTGAGTTTAGATCTTCAAGCTAGGATAGTGTATTGTAATAGAAGAAGTTGTTGGATCAACTACAGTGTAAGCTTTTGGGGTTGTCCTTACCATAATTAATTCACTTGTGTATTCCAAATTACGTTTAGCATTCTTATGTTTAAAGCTAATTATTCAGTAAGTGATCACACCAGTCGAGGACTCCTCCCACCCTATCCCATTTGTATAACCCACCAAGTAGAGAGGAAAGTTCACGAATAAGATGTTCTGAATAATTGTGAGCTGGCGTAAATAATTTGGACCAATTGATACTTCAGGGGTAGGTGTAATCCACGTTTACAGTTCTTCATACGAAAACTGTAAAGTTTCTAATATTAAAAGACGAAAAAGAAAGAAAATTCCCCTTTCCGCCATTCAACTAAACAATACCATTTACCAATATTTTAGTGCTATTTATATATATTATCCATTTTATAAAGTTTAACATAACTTTTAGTTTGGCCACGTTTTGCAACAAGAGGTTCTTTGTACTCTAATGTTTGCTACATTATATATATTTCTGATCATTAATTTGTTGTATTGTTGAATTTCGCGCAAAGCTATTCGAAGGCTAGCTACTCTAGGCGATACTAATTTTGAAATGTTAGATTAGTGGCAAGTCAGTTAGTCAACACCACCACCGCCAACTCATGGGCTACTCTTACTAATGTCACATTATAACACCCCCCATGGCTGAAAGGGCGAGCATGTTTGGTGAGGGGATTCAATCCCGCTACTTGCAGATTGCGAGTCGTGTGCCTTATCCACCTGGAAGCCCCCCAGACCACTAGACATTCCTGGAACAACATTTCCTGTTATTCGATGACATTTCAGGATTCTGGATACAGTACACCGGGGGTCAAGGGAGGCAGTAGTAAAGCAAGTGTAGCTATGTAAGTTATTGATTCAACTCAAACAATTTCAACAAAAAGCGATTTTGCTTAAAGAAGCTGCTCTTCACTTTTGTTGGCCCCCAGGTGGTTAAGGGGTCTGAATCGCAATCTGCTGGTCGCGGGTTCGAATCCCCATCCAACCAAACATGCTCGCCCTTTCAGCCGTGGGGGCGTTATTATGTGACGATCAATCCCACTATTCGTTGGTAAAATAGTAGCCCAAGAGTTGGCGGTGGGTGGTGATGACTAGCTGCCTTCCCTCTGGTCTTACACTGATAAATTAGGGACGGCTAACACAGATAGCCCTTGTGTAGCTTTGCGCGAAATCCGTAACAAACAAACAAACAATTTCCTTTGCGGGAAAATAAAGTTTGGGAAAAGTTACCTAAGCCTGTTGAAATTACGTTTTGTTTTAGTTTCTCACACTAAAATGTACTTTTTGGTATCTATTAATACTTTTTAGGAAGAATAATTAATGTTCCTCTATATAGATATGTATATTTCACAAACAACCAGTTTACATTAACTAAAAAAAAATAACTTCCCTTCTCATTAAATCTGTCTGGATGGGATGAACAAGAGATGCAATAAATTAACTCAAATTACAGTACCTTGAAGACGAGCTCTAATGGCAATAGGACAAAAAAATTAATTTAAGTCTGAAGAGAAGCTCTTGCACGTCATAAAATCCATTCAAATAAAAGATGTTGAAAAGAAAGAAAAAAATGGCCAGATTATTATAGTACGCGCTATTTTTGAAAGATGCTAAATTACTCGGATTATACCAAACTCATAATCTATTACCACGTAGCTACTTCTTTGTACCAAATGAACGTTCATATATCACTGGCTTGTTCGCTATTGTCAAGTGTGGAAGTCACTGTTTAGTGTTCGTGTCTAGAGAACTGTAGTTATTCACATAAGTTTCAATTAATTTTTTGTTGTTGTGGCGGAAGAGACCGGCGGTTACATCAAGTGCTCTTAAACGTCATTTGTCCATTTGACGGCTAAGAAGCGATGTCTGTTCGTCTGTTTAGTTCTGATTTGTGGTTGCGTGTTTTGTTATAACCATAGAAGTATTGGGAGGCTTAATTTCACGAAACCACTAAGATAGTTATAAGAAATGTTCACGTCCAGTTGATGGTCAACCATGTAATCCTTCGATTTACCACCGTCAGTTATATTAGCACTTGTGTAGCACCGTCAGTTATATTAGGACTTGTGTACCACCGTCAGTTATATTAGCACTTGTGTAGCACCGTCAGTTATATTAGGACTTGTGTAGCACCGTCAGTTATATTAGCACTTGTGTAGCACCGTCAGTTATATTAGCACTTGTGTAGCACCGTCAGTTATATTAGGACTTGTGTACCACCGTCAGCTATATTAGCACTTGTGTAGCATCGTCAGTTATATTAGGACTTGTGTACCACCGTCAGTTATATTAGGACTTGTGTAGCACCGTCAGTTATATTAGGACTTGTGTAGCACCGTCAGTTATATTAGCACTTGTGTACAGAAGCACATTATGCTAATAATTTGTCTGGTTTTGTTTTTAGAGCAGAGAATCGAACCCCGGATTTTAGCGTTGTACGTCCGGGACATGCTAATAATACAGTAACTTGACGAACATATTATATGGTTTCAAATAATATCGTTTCTCATCTTCAATTTACTATAGTTATATCAGCACTGACACGTTTCCCCCAGCTCTCCCCCCCCAGTGGCACAGCGATATATGTCTGCGGACTTACAACGCTAGAAACCGGGTTTCGATGCCCGTGGTGGGCAGAGCACTGATAGACCATTGTGTAGCTTTGTGCTTAATTACAAAAAAAAAAAACGTTTCTCACAAATTTTGAAATTTTATAGGATCGGCTTTAATAATGGAAATATATAACTGGAAATTTACATCCTCCACCCACATTTTGTATTAAAGTACTTTTATCACTAATTAATTTGTTTTAGTGGTGCTTTTTATTTCAACACATTATTTACATTTCTCGCTGTTATCTAGCACAGTTTCTTTATAAATGTGTAACGTAACAAAAGTCTTGGATTTCTTTGTGCATGATTTTATATAGAACCATTGTTGAAAGGAAGTTTATTTTACGTTTTGCCGTATTTACATTATTGTTTTGTTTTTTGATATATAAACTTGTGCATGATTTTATATAGAACCATCGTTGAAAGGAAGTTTATTTTACGTTTTGCCGTATTTACATTATTGTTTTGTTTTTTGATATATAAACTTGTAACTTTTAACTGTTAAATATTATAAATACATATTTTATCTATTTGTTTGACGTTGACTATAGATTTGTAAAAATCTTGTTCTGACCTATTACAGGTCCATTTGTATTTCTCGGTACTTCCCGACGAGAAAGTTCCGTACGTGAATAGTGTTGGGGAAAAATACCGAATTAGACAACTTCTACATCAACTGCCACCGCATGACACACAACCCAGTTTCTGTAATCAACTGCTCGGAGAAGATGAAAAGAAAGAATTACGGCAGTTTGCGGCACAGCGGAGGCGAGAAGCTCTCGGCCGCGGAAACGTGCGACAACTTCCTGTCTTGTTACAGTGTCCAGTGAGCTGTAAAAATGTAAGTTTTGAAATCAAGGATTTTGTTAAATGAGCTATAACTGTTTGGTTAAAGTAGTTGTTGAAATTGTGTGTTCACTTATATTTCTATGGCTATTTCTAGCCATTCAGTTTCTAAGGCTTCTGAGCAAAGCTTCAAATACAGAACGTTATACTAAAACGTTTTTTTATGGGAGCTTCAACACGTCGTTGCTATATCCACTCATTATCTACTTGACGTTAATGCATGATGACAATAGTTCTTCAGCAGAGTTTCCTTTGGAAAAGGCTTCGAAGTTAGGCTGTCATGTCAAAAGCACACCAATTCTCTCTTCATGCTTTTCATGATGACAAACTGTCGTTCTTAGATGTTCATCATAAGAATGGTAATACTTATAGTAGGAATGGGGCGAATACACAATACATGCAATACAAACTATTTATTCATATACACCTTTAACAACCAAATAATAAATCTTGAAAAGTATTTGAGAGACACCCTTAGGTGATAAACAAACCACATATAAAATTACAAGTCATAGAACCACTTGAGAAAGTCAGCAGAGTAGATACAAAAAATTCACAAAACCATAAATTAATCAATCTCACTGACTGACTGGCATTGTTTAATGCTTCTAGTTGTGTAAAACAGACACACTATAGTTATAAGTGCACCAAATAGAAAAATAGCACAGGGACCACATGCTAGTACTGGCGTTTTTCTACACCAAACATCACCAAAAAATTTAATTAACAAACTAATTTATCAACCCTTAGTGTATGCACACAACCACAATTCACACTACACCACCCAAATCACATTGCACACTGCGGAGTGTGTTCCATCAAATGTACAGCACACATGCACACTCACAATGTGTACACACACCATAAATGAAGAGAATGTACACAACACACACACACACATACACCATTATTTGCACACATACCATAATATTGTGGTGCACACCCACACTGTTGATATACATACAAGATATCACCACAAATGAATGAACGGTGTATAAGACCATGTCACCTTGTATAAAAAATGTGCATGAACATATGAAAAAATAGTTTAAAAAAAACTGAAAGTGTAGGAAAGAGTGTACCAAAAAGTGAGGAAACTAGGTAGGGATGGGCATGGTGTAATAAAACCTCCTATGTATAACCTCTCAAGGGGGCGTGTCCAACATCTGTTCCATGACTACTTCGTTTTTCTGTGTTCATGATATTATTCAACTTACGGGTACATACAAAAGTGTGTCTTTGATTCTTCTACTTTTGTATAAACAGTAAGAAATCCACGACGTCGTTACACAGAAACCTCTTGACAGTTTTTATCTTTGTACTTTAATCCACCTGTATAAGGTGGACTAAACTTATCAAACTTAGTTGTGATTATCATACAATGGCTAGAGGTTTCTATGAATCGAATTAATGGAGGCAATACATGTACTGTAAAATCTGTTTATATGACACCAGAAGAATCAGATATTCGTGGGGACCCATAACTTGTATGTTGTTGTTTCTCCTTTTGCAATTGCATGATAATGTAACAGGATTTCGTACATTAGCAGGTGGACTAAACTTATCAAACTTAGTTGTGATTATCATACAATGGCTAGAGGTTTCTATGAATCGAATTAATGGAGGCAATACATGTACTGTAAAATCTGTTTATATGACACCAGAAGAATCAGATATTCGTGGGGACCCATAACTTGTATGTTGTTGTTTCTCCTTTTGCAATTGCATGATAATGTAACAGGATTTCGTACATTAGCGGCTTACTGTATACAGGATATACATGGACCGTATTTTGGATACGCCCTCTTGTGAAATTGTACAGAGGAAGTTGTATTGCACCATGGTACATGTTTAATTTGTTTGTTCGTTTGTTGTTAAGCACAAAGCTAGAGAATGGGCTAACTGTTCTTATATATATATAATTATAATTATTTTTATTACTATTAGTTACACTCGGTTCTATTCAGCGAGTGTTGTTTGGCTTTATTGTACAATGGTTTATCTGTGTTCACTAAGACACGGCGATCGAACCTCAAATTCTACTCTTGTTGTTATGAAGCTTGCCTCTGAGCCACCGCTGAACTTTAACCTCGTATTTACCTCACATATTTGTTTTATGACGGACGTGTACAATAGTTAACCTTCCTCCACCAATGTCTGACTATTTTATTGCCTCATAAACTGACCGTTGAGGTTATGATTATCCTAAATGTTCCTAATAAGCGATAAAGCTAAATGTAGAAACAAAATATGTTATTTTTAATGGCTCTAGGGCTTAGAAATAAGAACAAGCATGATGCAACATCTATCGACTAATATTATATGTCCAACAATTCTACTTCTTGGAATTGCGTTCAGCGCCACAAGTACTACTTACAATTTCGTTAGAGATATAGTACGTTTGATATTTTAAGCGTACAAATCTTGACAAAGAGATGTTTTTTTTTTGTTGTTTTTTTCAAGATATCTTGTGATCTATACTTAAGGGCATTGTTAGACTTGAGAGTGGACGTGGTTTGGACGACGTCCACCAATTAGTTTTTGGAAATTGTTATCTTTGATACAATTATCTGCACTGCTATTTATCTTAAGAAGTAATATCTCCCGAATACCATTCCCGACGCAGGTTTTTTTGGTACTTATTATGTACAAAATGATTAATATTTGTGTCAATATTTTTGGGGGGTTATGCTTTTCCAGTTTAACGGTAATAGTCTACAAATTAGGGGAGAAAAGTAGAAAGAATATATTTTCTCGTCTTTTAACTTTAGTACTTTAAATGGGAAAGTTTCTTAACAGTTGCCACCCAGTGGCTCAGTGGCAAGTCTGATGGCGTATAACGCTAAAAACCGGGTTTCGATACCCGTGGTGGACACAACAGATAGCCCATGGTGTAGCTTTGTGCTTAACAACAAATGAACAAACAAATTAAACACGTACCCTGGAATAGCGATTAGATGTCGGAAATTATTGTCTCTAAAATATATAATTACGGAACGGTCCACCAACTATTTCCTGTACGAGTCCAATAAGACATTCGTATACACTCAGAAATATTTATAAAAAACTGATTTTTTTTCTCGATTTACTGGAAAAATCTATTTCTGATAAATAAAAAAAACAACAACTGATATTGACTAAGGAATCTACCTTTGGATTGAGCATGGCCTTGTAGTTAGCGTATCAGGTTAGAAATCCGTAGGTCTCGGGTTTGAGACGTGGTTCTGCCAAACGCACTTCGCAGTTTCAGCTGTGGGCACTTATAAGAGTGACAGCCATTCCTGCTGCTCATGTAAAGTAGCTCAAAATTAGGGGTGGCTACATACTTGAACCATGGAGGTCTCAAACCTGGATGCTTAAGTTCACTGTATGCATAAGGGTCGTTCAGGTGAACAAACACACAATCGACTTTGCCTGTATACAAATTATACAACTACACGTCCTACAGGCCATTCTGTAAATCGAAAGCACCAGTCAACTTCCTGACATATAAAATTAAAATTAACCATAAACGTTTTATGGGATCTCGAATCGAAAGTTTGGTTTTGATGAATTTTCGGATCGGATACGGAAATATATTTCCAGAACCTGAGTAATAGTTATCTAAAACGAAAAGCTATAAATAGAAGTTCCCCAATCATAATAAAATTATTCCAACTTCATGCTTATAGTATTCCAGAAGTAAGCAGTTCGTATAATAACTGTTGGAATTGTTGATTTAAGTTTAAAGCCGTCATTGACTATTTCGTCGAGAATACAGCAACGTTCTTTTATACTTAGCATAACAGAGTTAAAGTGAGAAATGTTATTCCAATAATAATAAAATATTATACACTTAAACACTGTCTAAATATACATCAAAACAAACATGAGTCAAAGAAAGTAAACTGTCGCACGAACATTATTGTAATTCACACCATGAGTCAAAGAAAGTAAACTGTCGCACGAACATTATTGTAATTCACACCATGAGTCAAAGAAAGTAAACTGTCGCACGAACATTATTGTAATTCACACCATGAGTCAAAGAAAGTAAACTGTCTCACGAACATTATTGTAAATGAAAAACTCGACAAATGAAAAGAAACTCCGGGACTGGTACTTGATCCCAGGACCTTTGGCTAAGAGAGCCGTTGCTTTACCCTCCAAAGATACAATCCGTCTCTTTCTTTTTTTTGCCCATAAGGTTTTTTTTTTTTTTTTAATATGAGTAGGAACTTTATCCTACGATCAGTGGGTTGATTTACCTAAAGAACTGTATTAGAAGTTCGGTAATTTTAACTACCTGAGAGAGTAAAGAACCGTAACAGCTAGTTTCCAATTATGTAAATATTTAACTAACTCCCAATCTACTAGATATGCATAGCTAATTTCCGGTTTACAAATGTATGAATAACTAGTCCCCTGTTTACAAAAATATATAGCTATTTTTCAATTATCTAAATATTTAACTAATTCAAGATCCATACGTAGCTAACCCTCAGTGTGGTTGATATATAAGGAATTTCCAGTTTACAAAGGTTTTAAACTAGTCCCATGTTTACGAAAATATATAGCTATTTTTCAATTATCTAAATATTTATGTAGATTTATCTAAATTTTTAACTAATCCTCAATTTACTTATGTTATATAACTAATCCTCAATTTACTTATGTTATATAACTAATCCTCAATTTACTTATGTTATATAACTAGTCCCCAATTTACTTATGTTATATAACTAATCATCAATTTACTTATGCTATATAACTAATCCTCAATTTACTTATGTTATATAACTAATCCTCAATTTACTTATGTTATATAACTAATCCTCAATTTACTTATGTTATATAACTAATCCTCAATTTGCGTACTTTAATAATCATTTCCAACACTTATGTGATTTAAAATTATGAACTAAATTAGGAATTTATGCGTGCACTATATCAGCGTATGTAATTTATACGCGTCTTCAAGTTTCTCTGTGACGTCCAAGTAATAAATAAAATAATTTTTGGATTGGATTTTACTTTATTTCTGTTCATTGTAAGATGATGTCAGTGAGACGGATCTATACGTTACTGTGTTAAGGGTTATAACATTATTTTCCAGTGTGAAGAAATGATATCAGGAGGAGATATCTGTGTGACTGCTAACAGAGTAGGTACAGACTGTTACTGGCATCCCGCTTGTTTCGTGTGCTGTGAATGTAAAGAACTGCTCGTGGATCTAATATACTTCACGAAAGATGACAAACTCTACTGTGGTAGACATCATGCCGAAACCGTCAAGCCTCGTTGTGCGGCTTGTGATGAGGTAAGGTGAACAAATGTGACCAGTATATGAGAAAAGTTATTATTATTTTTATTAACTTTATTCTGCTTACCTATCAACTATTTAAAATCAATGATTTTGTTTTTCATATGAAGCTAAACAATGTATTTGTTTGTTTGTTATTAAGCACAAAGCTACACAATGGGTTACCTGTGTTCTGCCCACCACGGGTACCGAAACCCGGTTTCTAGCGTTATAAGTCCGAAGACTTATATATATTTATATCTTTAAAAATGATAAGTTATTGAACTAGGTATGTGTTATATTCTTGGTTGAAAAGCTTTTGTAAGATTAATTATCTGAGAAACAGTTATGCGTATTTGACAATCGTAGTAGTGGTCGTAATAACAGGTCATAAGTCCTGTGAAGGTCAGGTGCTCACTGGGTTTCTTCCTCCCTTCTTAAAGATGTCAGAGAACGCTTTATACCATTAGTAACTAAAATCACGGTTTTCGGATTCATGCAGCTACGCATGCGCAATACCGTATTTTTTTATACATACGACTGAACCTTTTCTGGGAAAAGCAGAATTTTTAGCCGCGGCGTAGCGGCTGATAGAACGGCTCTGAGTTTTTCAAGTACAAACTTTTAGCTCATAGCTCCGTCATCTCTTGACCGATTTGAGATCTAATTGCAGTTTTGGACTCAGGAGGTCAAACCTATTTGATTGATCTATTTGACCATTCCCAAGGTCTTATAGATTAATTTACTCTAATCCTGCCTAAAAAAATTAAATATGAGTGTAGGATGGCAGAGATTCTGGTGAGCAATAAAATCGAATCGAGATATACATGCGCCCCACACTTGGTATTGCTGGCGCACAAAAATATAACTAATAAAAACGAAAAACGTCTCATAGATTAATTTACTCTAATCCTGCCTAAAAGAATTTCAAGTGTCGAGGCTATTGAGGATTCCATCTTGTTCATTTTGGTACTTCACTCTGTCGCTTTACTTGCTCGAATGCTAAATCTTTTTCTCACAACTAGTTCTATGGTTTGTCCGGATATATACTTATAATCTTATTTTAACATACAATAACTCTTTAAAAAATAAAACTAATATTGTATGTAACTATTGGTTGTTGGTTTGTCTAGTGTTCAGTGGTCGGAATATATACGGCGAGTTAATTAGATTTAATGGTGAGAGGTACTTAGATCTGTGTTCATCATGCATGATAAACTTTTCTAGTGTGCGTAATAAATCATTTTGACTTAAATATTTCCTAAAGTATAGTCTTGACTTATTTAGAAGTCTGCGACAACATGGGAATGTTTGTGTAATTGTGTAAGAATGTTATGTTTATGGATCTTGGAATTCTCTATAGTTTAGTGATTATTATATTTTGAATTGTCTGTAGTTTTGTTGTGTGCGACTTAACCATGCTGGACAGTCATACTCTGTCATCGGACAAATGTAGGCTTTATAGATAATAAGTATGTTTATGTTGTTGCGCCCCTGGTATTGTCAGTCAAATGTCGGACAAGATTGGTTCTTTGTCTGCCATGTTTTATTTCTAATTTCATATATGTGTTAAATCCAGTTTAACTTTGAGTCATAGTTTAGACCCAGGAGCCCCCCCCCCCCCCAGTGGCACAGCGGTATGTCTGCGGACTGACAACGCTAGAAACCGGGTTTCGATACCCGTGGTGGGCAGAGCACAGATAGCCCATTGTGTAGCTTTGTGCTTAATTCCAAACAAACAAAAATTCCTGATATTTTGCCCAGTTAGCTTTTTTGTAAACGTATTTTGAGGTATTTATTCGTACGTTATGATTTGGACAGAGATCCAGTATTTAACAAGAAGGCACCACCAGATAGTATTCTAAATGGACGCCAGCTTTGGTTCAAACATTGAAAATCACTGGATTTTGTAGATTCTACGTATAAACAGATTTATTTGATCAGAACTATGGTCATTTCCTCAAAATAGTCAATTTAATATTGTTCTGTTAATGTAAACCTTCAACTTGGTATTCATTTGATGTTTGGATATAACCAAAGCTGTTTAATTTGCATATTTTATATATAGAGCTAGCATTTTCATATCTCTCTACTGAAAAAGACCATCGCCCTCCAGAACACTTTGGATTTTTGGTCTTTCACATATTGTGAATCTTCGAAGATTCCCAGTGGAGTTTCGTACACATGACTGTCTGTAGCTTATAATTTTCTATATTTATACAGAGTAGCCCAAACTTACCTTTCCTATTTTAAAATATAATAATAAACTAACTAAGAAAATACAACCATGCAGTTTTCAACATCTTTTAGCCTAACTCAAACAGTTTTTATTGGCATGTCAGTAGACTTCTACGTGTGCACCATTACAGGCTCTCACCATGTCTAACCGATATTCGATTTCAGTCCACATTCGCTCCAACATGCCCACAGTTACAGTGACAATGGCGTCCGTTATCCTGGTCTTTAGCTCCGCGATGTTTATTATATGTGTGCGATACACGATATCCTTAACATATCCCCATACTTCTTTCCTGTACTGGCGTCTGTCTGTAATTACGCTGCACCACAGTCACTGACTTGGTTTCTGTAAACAAAACAACGCATTGATCCTTTTCTTGCATGATTGCCATTTTACGGGGTAATACTACTCACTATACTGAAAAAAAAACAGTTTGAGTTGGGATACAAGTTGTTGAAGAGTCTTATTTCCTTAATTATTTAATCATTAAATTTTAAAATAGGAAAGATAAGTCTGGACCATCCTGTATTAAAACTATTTTGAGAAACTTCTGAAATAAAGGTATATTAAAAGTATCCATTCTACTAAGCCTTAAAATCACCAAACAGTTTTTAACTTCACCTTTTTTAACAATTTATCTTATTAATTCCTTTTACACCTTACTGGTGTAATTCTTTTCACTTATTTATTACAGATATTTCGTACTGCTATGACTTATATGATTTGATAAATATTCATGAGTGTGTACGTCATAGATTTGAAATAGAAAATAAATTTCAAGTAGTACTTTGATATTTCGAAATTACTCTGTTCTGGTCCAATTTTGTGTTGTGTCCACCAGGGGTATGAAACCCGGTTTTTAGCGCTATAAGCCTTCAGAATTTCCGCTGAACCACTGTGTGTGTTTGGGGGGTTGAGGGGGGTCGTATGAAATAGTTGGTTTCAGAGATCGGATACTATAGTTATCGATAAAGAAACGTTTCATGGCTTTATTCAAACTTATGATTTTAAACTCCGGTATAATAATACAGTAATAGGTGACAAGCAATAAGTAATTTATCTTCGAAGTCAAAAGCACTAAAAATAAACTCTATTTTTAGCTTTATTTTTTATTCAATTATTTAAAATTATTGCCTGGCGATTGGTAGACCTGTCTCAACTGCCTTGTACGCCGCTAGTTGGACGACCTAGTTTTACTACAACAATTTAATTTTCGGGTTGCAAGACATGTGGAAGATCCTGAGGCACCTGTTTCACTTTCAAACTTCACATAAGACACTGAGACAAGTGGGAAAGTTACTATGGCGATACCTCAAAATAAAAGACAACACGCTGGAAGATACAGAGATGAAGGTTATGATTCTGAGTAAGCAGTTCCCACAAAGAATCTATGTATAGAGAGTATTGAGAATTATCTGGGAATTACAATGATGAAAATAAAAAAAAAAGGTCAAAGATAGAGAGAGATCTAAAACGTCGTTCCATTTATACAGCTGCCGAGTATCAGACAGTGTTGAAAAATTGGGAATATTATTTTAATGATTTGGAGAATATTTTATTCAATTGTTTAAAATTATTGCCTGGCGACTGGTAGACCTGTCTCAACTGCCTTGTACGCCGCTAGTTGGACGACCTAGTTTTACTAGTTATTGTATTTGATAAATATGAGGTATACAACAAATCATAGCCTAACACTTTTTTTTTTAATTCATTATTTGATTTATATTATACTATTATTCGAAAAGGAGGCTTAGAAAATAGTTCTTAACCTTTACAAATCCAATTATATGATATTGTAGGACATATTAATAAACTATATAATAAGAATAATTTAATCTTTACTACTTATGTTTCCTTTTCAGATCATATTTGCTGACGAGTGTACAGAGGCTGAAGGTATGGCTTGGCACATGAAGCATTTTTGCTGTTTCGAGTGTGACATGCGCCTTGGAGGACAAAGGTATATCATGAAAGATGGGCGACCTTATTGCCTAAACTGTTATGATTCTATGTTTTCCGAATACTGCGATACTTGTGGCGAGCCTATAGGCGTGGACCAAGGCCAAATGACCCACGGTGGTCAACATTGGCACGCAATGAAGGATTGTTTCCGATGTTACACATGCCACTTACCATTACTTGGCAGACCCTTTCTGCCAAAACGTGGGCTCATTTATTGCTGTGCACAGTGCAGTAAAGGTGAGTAGAATACCAAATGAAAATACTTCATTTTTAAACTTAGTTCATTGTCTGTTATTGGTTATTTACTTCTTTTGCAATCCTAATGAAACTCGGGAATAATGCCCACATTGCCAAATTAGCAAAGTTTAATATGAGAGTAATCATGGGCAAAGTTTTCCATGGGGGTAAAGTAGTGTGAAATTGTGAATTGAGTAAAGAAAAGTCATATACATGTGATGAATGAATAAAGAAAAAATTACGTTTCTCATTTTCCAGGTGGGGGCAAGTGCTCCTTCTTGCCCCCACCTGCGGATGCCCATGAGAGTTATCCCAATAAATTTGATTGCTTCGAGCAATCGATTCCTTTAGCAGCACCAAATCTGTTTCTTTGGTATTGGATACTTACAAACTGCTAAACGACCAGTTCAGAGATACCATGATTCAAGTACATTCGTCCCTAATTTTGAACTGCTTATCTGAGACAGAGCAATGTTTTAGTAACGTTCACCGCCTACACGATTACTTTTAACCGAATAGCAGATTTTTGTCGCTTTTATAACGTTTTCACAGCTCAAAGTGTAGAATATGTTTAATGGCAGATCTAACCTTGGAAATAACGTTCCGCAGCCCGACACGCTAACCACCAGTCCGCGCCTTTCCCACAAATTAAGTGCATTTATAAGTTGAAACCAACAAAAAAAAAGGATTGTTATAGCTTACTTATTTTTTAATATTGTAATTAATACGATATTTACACGTATTAAAGTATTCAGTAATTACTTAATTCAATATTAGCACAAGGGATTTACTAAAATGATGAAAGTAAAAGATGCGAGAAATATTACAAGGCTATTTTAAGATTGAAAACTTCTTCTTGCACGAGAATAACTCGTTGTTACGATGCGGTTTAGCAGAGTAAAATACAAAGAAAAATTCACACTGTTTTATTTATTTCTGACTTTTGTAGCGAATCAACAGAAGCCTCCAGTTTGTAAGTAAACGGACGAATTAAGTGTTTTACTTTGACACAGTTTTCATAATTTAAACGCCCCCTCTGTTGGTTCAACGGTAGGTATGAGGGCTCAAACCGTCAAAAACTAGGTTTTGATAATCATGGTGGGCACAGCACAGATAGTTCATGGTGTAGTTTTGTCCTTGACAAGAAACAGACAAATACAAGTTATATTGACGTAATTACATGTTTTCACGCTGTTCATTGTAACATGAAAACTCATAGATCAAAGCTGTGAGATGGAAATACCTTTTGCTTACTTAATAACAATTTATCACAATGAAAGAAATCCCCATAATCTGAGCTTTTTCGAAAGCCATACTTTTCATTCGTTAGGGATGACAAAGAAAATTTTGTAATATGAGAAGCAAAAACGTGCAATGTTCACCAAGGTAGTCTTTCATTAGCTTTCATTGCTAATAAATAATGCATTATCGTGATGTCGGTTTATTTTCGTTAAAATTATATTATCACTTGTATGTACTTCAGTCCCTTGTGATAAATGACAATGGGTTACCACAAGGGAAAGTTTCACGTCCTAATTAAACTGATTCCATATACTCCTTGAGAGTAGAACTTTATTCCAGTTTTATAAACTAATATTAACCAGTACATTTTTGATGCTCTTTGGTTTTGAACTAATCAGTTATTATTTCGTTATAGGGGAAATTCCCAGACCGAAACAAAATATATTCAAAGAGTCAATGGCGCCATCTAGAGAGAAAAAATTTACAGAAAACGAGTTATTGTCACATGGAGAGGCGCCTACTAAAATTTCTCCTCTGACACGATACAAAAGCCATGAAAATTTGTGCGGGCAGAGAGAGCTTGAAATAAAAAGTGAAGACAAATGTTTTCTACAAAATTCGTCTTGTTACTCCGATTTTGATCTCGACAGTCAAGGTGCCAAAGGCTTGATTAGTTCAGTCAGCCGTACTAGAGGACCATTGAAGGGACCACTTGTGTCAGATGATGCCTCATTGTTAAACTCCACAATCTCTGTAGACTTGTTGCAAGAAATACAATATTTACAAAGCCAGTGCCAACTACGAAAGACACAGCATATATACAGCAGCAACGAAAATAGTGCTCCTGTTTTCCCTTCTAAACAGTTACCAGTTAACTCCTCAAACTCGTGTCGAATTTTACAATCGTCTCCCAGCTTCACGTCTAATAACAATAATCCACAGTTACGACCTCCTCTCGCTAGATCACCATCAGATCATATGCCTCGCCCAATCGTCAGGTCAAATTCTAACTGCAACAGCGGAGTGTCTTCAAAAAATTTGTCCGTTCGGTTTAACCCCATTCTCATAAAACATCCTTTGGAAAACCATCCAAGAAGTTACAGCTGTCAAAATAACGTTAATATGAGTAGCGCACAGTCAAGGCTTAAGAATTCACAATTTTGCAAGCCCTCAAGTAACAGTGGCGTCATGGGTGAGAGTTCAACGTCGTCTGTAGTTTCATCTACTCTCCAAAATTTTGATGACAATACTGACAGCTGTATGGTGTCTGCAAGCCCTTCCCACTCACCTCATGACAGACCAAACGCGCAAGACTTGAATTTATCTGCACAACTCAAATCTAAGCCACTGTTTTCACCTGTTGAGAACATAGTGACACACCACGTGACTGATTTTCCTTTTCAGAATGACAGAGTAGCTGAGAATTTTTTAATTCCCAGAGAAAACGAAGAGGAAGAAGACAGTTGTAGTACGTGTTCTACTTCCAGTTCTGACGAGATTTCTTACGAACTACCCCCAAGACGGGCATATGGTGGGGTTAGAATTTCCTACGTCAGCAGTGATGCATTATCTGTTGCCAAGCAAAAGCACAGAATTTCAGATGACACTACAGAAATTACTGAGAAAAAGGAACAAGATAAAAACTGTACCATATCTTGACATCACTTTTGAGTTAATAGTTTCTCGTTTTGGAAGTAGTAAAACAACATCTACAAAAACTCGAATAATGTTCGAAATGTTTTGATAAAAAGTTTTCAAAGATCTAAACGAAAATTTTATAGATAATGTTGATCTCGATGAATCAAAATTGAGATTATACAAAGTTTATGCATTTATACCACCAGTAATATAATAATCATTGTTGTAAATGAATTACATTTCGACAACTTTACATAAGATTGCTGTTATTAAAAAGCATAACGTTACGAGCTTCTTTAAACACAATGTATGAAACTTAATAGTCACCATATGTCAACAGTGAAGTATTAGTTGTATATAGTTTTAATTTTTCCACAGCTAGTAATTCACAAAAAGGAACATCGCCGCTTTTTCAATTCAATACCTGAAAGATAAAGTGCTAAGAAATTAAATTTCGAATAAAATATTAGGCCAAGAAATCATATTGAGACAGTACTTAATTTCTTTATGAACATGATTTATGGAAACCTTTCAAGTGCAAAACGCACTCCGTTTTCATAATCATTCAGCGTTGTTTCCAAATATTTTCCCAACAGGTCGACTTTTTTTCTTTACGCAATAAAACAAATATTAATAAATCTATGACAAAGTTTTCAGTTTTGTGTTTTGCGGTTTTTATGGGCGTTTTTACCTCTACTTCGCCCCTGCTGATTGATCTTCACCAAATTTGTCATGAAGGTTTTTCGGGGTCCATGCGGAAATACATGTAAATATATTTTGCAATTTTTACAATTACATATAAGGGAAGCAATTGTTCATGTCCCAAGATAACCTTTCATTAATCATGAAGTTACATAACTTCCGTCCAGGGGACGGGTACTCCAGCTAGTTATATATCTAATAAAATAACCGTTTGTTTTTTCTTGTGTTGGGAAGTTTTCAAGTATGTAAATCATGTTTTTAAAAAGTAACTCCATAGAAATAGTATTTTCTACCAGCAACGTTAGTGAAAATAATTGTTTTTTTTTTTAAATTTAAAAGCTAACGTTGGTCTGTCCCACACATAAACGTCATTAGGCTAGGCTAGTATTTCGAAACTGGTTGTTTCTCTGTAATACAACTGAGAATTCTTTCTACAAAATGGCCGCTGAATGTCGTCCAACTCCGTTTTTTCGTATGTACTTCCGCATGGACCTAATGAATTTTCATACCAATTTTGGTGAAAATCCATCCATACCCTGCGAAGTAGTTACATGGACATACAACAGACAGTACTATTATACTTATATAGATACATACAATAGACAGTACTATTATACTTATATAGATACATACAACAGACAGGACTATTATACTTATATAGATACATACAACAGACAGGACTATTATGCTTATATAGATACATACAACAGACAGTACTATTATACTTATATAGATACATACAACAGACAGTACTATTATACTTGTATAGATACATACAACAGACAGTACTATTATACTTATATAGAGACATACAACAGACAGTACTATTATACTTATATAGAGCGTCGCTCAAGACTTGGTAACAGGATGTCGGTTATCAACTTTAGCGTCGCTCAAGACTTGGTAACAGGATATCGGTTATCAACTTTGTAAAACCGTTACATGATATCATATTTCTGTTTACAAACATGTACAGTCTGCAAGGAGTGAGTAATTAATAAACAAGTCAGAAACAAATATAAATAATTATACTCAACTTTTGAACAGAAATTAATACATCGAAATATTTATCTAAGACGAGACCCTTATTCAGTAAACACGTGGTTTATACTACAGCGTTTCCTGTTAAATAAAGTACATCTTTAACTAAAAAAATTTGTTGTTCTGTATTTACAAACGTGAAATGGAGTGGTTGATACATTCATTCGAATTTTCGTGTGTATGTATCTATATAAGTATAATAATAATAATAATGTCTGTTGAATGTGTAACCATATAAGTATAATAGTACTGTCTGTTGTATGTCTCTATATAAGTATAATAGTACTGTCTGTTGTATGTCGTCGCTCAAGACTTGCTAACAGGATGTCGGTTATCAACTTTAGAAATATCGTGTTTGAGGTTATTTATTTATTAAGTTATTAATATTCCATTTTATACAGACTTCTACACCGTACATAATAAAGTGTTTTATTAAACCATGTACACATTATTACAAAAATAATATTTCAATAGTTATTTACAAAAATAAAATGAAATATGTCTATTCAAAAATTTTAAAGACCATTACAAAAGACGATAGATAATTTCATAGGCACGTGGGCAAGTCGTGGGTCAGTACTCTTTACTGACCTCCTTGTAATCAGATTTCTAACTATGTTATATATATATATATCTTAGACAATGGGCAAGATTCTTTATTAGACTCTGACTATGAGTTCAATATTAAGTTGTATACGCGTTTAAAGTATATAAGTCACGGCTAAAAAAGGCCCGAGCGTTTCAGAGCGGGTTAAATATTTGTATTTTATCAGCTCCGAATGTGATGGCACTCATAAGAAAGATGTCAAGAAAAACTATGAAGCGATATTATGTCGATTGGCACTGAAAAAGATATAGTTATAAACTGCTTTTCACGTATATCTAGCATCTGTGTATTACAACTTCTTCAGCGTAGCTCATACGTAATGAAATAGAAATAAAATTTTGTTTAGTGGCACCAACGTAGACACTATTTATAATGTAAATGAATATTGAGAATTTTAAGATAAGAATAAAAAAAATACTTGTTTCTGTCGTCATTCAGATGGAGGTCCCCCAGTGAGACAGCGGTAAGTCTTCGGATTTACAACGCTAACATCAGCGATTCGATACCCCTCGGTGGACGCAGCAGATATTCCGATGTGGCTTTAATATGAGAGAACACGCAAAACAAACACGATATTTAAATGTTACTGTATTTTATACTAGATGGTGCAATATAATAATAACTTAAAGATTTGAAAATAACACCTTGCTTGTAAAATTCTCATACCCCTAAAACCTACTCCAATTTCTAGGATTAACATGCCAACTTTCTTTGGCAGCATTATCGGCTTTATATATCTTTCATCAGAAAATGTGTAATGATGCACGTCGTCGAATTAAATGAAAATAGATTTATTAAAGCGAAACTTTGAGTAACTACTCTTCGTCAGGCTTAACAGGTTACACCATCTTTGAAGAAAATTTCTAAAGAACACATGCACAATTAAGGTGAAATTAATCAATGAGGTTAAAGAAAGCGACCTGAAACATTCCAACGTCAACACGGCGTTCTATTGAGATGAGAAGCAAGTTCTATTAGCTGATGCTAATATACATATATATATAATCATCAATCTCTTATTATACTCTAATCCTTTGATTAATTTGTCTCCCCTAAAATAATCGCGTTGGAAAGCTTGGTTCAGAAATTAAAGTTAATATTGGTATGTTTGGAATTCAATTGAGCAAACAATGTATGTTCTATTGAGATGAGAAGCAAGTTCTATTAGCTGATGCTAATATACATATATATATAATCATCAATCTCTTATTATACTCTAATCCTTTGATTAATTTGTCTCCCCTAAAATAATCGCATTGGAAAGCTTGGTTCAGAAATTAAAGTTAATATTGGTATGTTTGGAATTCAATTGAGCAAACAATGTATGAACATTATTAGGTGTTTGAAGCAGCAAATTATCAATATAACGTTTGTGGTAAACAGGTTTGAATTCAGGTGAGCAGTTCTAACCATTTGCGTTCGTGGTACCACAGAAGGATATTAGTTATTGTTAAGACCAGTGGAGACCTCATGGTAATTTCATTTATCAAGTCACAAATTAAATTATTGAAGAAGAAATAATTTAACTTCATGAAGAGGGCACGAAGTCTGGTGAATTGTTTTGGAAACCAAAATACTGCTAAGTGTTAGTAGGAAAAAGAAAATTCCACAATTAAACTTAAAAAGAAAAGAAAAAAAAACATATTGTATCTCAAGATAGAAGAACATGAATTTAGGCTCAAACAACAGATAGGCCTCTCACTGAATCTGCTTTCTCATAATGTTGACCTTTAAGACCCATGTGGTTGCCCAAATATCTCATAACAGCTTATTTTTCTTATTCATCAACATGTAAAAAAATGTACATTTAAAGAAACAGAACTTTCCCCCTTAATTTAACATGTTAAATTCAGTTCTTAATTGTAGTTCTCATACATGTGCCCTGAAACAGACACTCAGTGTGGCCACTGTTACATGCAGTGTGGAAGAATATCTTATGGATAACTGAATACAACACTACAGTTCACTGGAAAGTCTGTCCCCAAAGAAAGAATCCGAGTGGTTGATAAAAGAACCTATGAGTGGCTGCTTCGGAGACGTCTTGTAAGAGTTATGGATTTCGCGCAAAGCTACACGAGAGCTATCTGCGCTAGCCGGCCCTAATTTAGCAGTGAACGACTAGAGAGAAGGCAGCTAGTCATCACCACCCACCGCGAACTCTTGGGCTGCCCTTTTATCAACGAATAGTGAGATTGACTGTCACATTACAACAACCCCTCGGCTGAAAGGGAGAGCATGTTTGGTGTGACGGGAATTCGAACCCGCAACTCACAGCTTGCGAGTCGAGCGCCCTAACCACCTAGCCATGCCAGGCCTTCTTGTAAGAGAGCTCAAAAAACGAGTTGTGAATTGAGTATTCTTAACTAAAAGGTCGGAAAGATTATCCTCAGTTGTTAGATAGAAGATTAGAAATAATTATGTATAATATATGTATACCTGTATTTCGTTCTGTAAGGCTTAATCGATTATACTATAGCCCCTTTGCAAGAGAAAGTTAGCTAAAATTAACCTGTATTTCAGTTAATTTCAGACAGTAACTTGTAAAACATTTAGCCATCATTTTAAAGGCTGGCAGCAGCAGACACTGTATGAAAGTCTAAATAGTCTTGGAGAGATTCAACGAGTTGTTTTGGAACAGTGTCATTGACTCTTAAGTTGTACACGGTTTATAAGAAATAAATATTTTGTGTTGTTATTGGTGGTGTCATGACCTCTTGAGAAATACGTGGACTTGTCTCCTACCATAATACAGTTTTTATACTATGGACACATACCTTGCAGCTTCTACCGCCTTATTTTAATATGTTGTTCTGAATTTATCAGTTACTCTAAGCATGCCCTTTGTTCCTTTTCCATTCTATGCAAATAACAACTGTTCTGTCCATGGGAGACATGGCTGTAATTCTACACGTTTTCCAAAAATGTAGATAGAAATTCAATTATACGTTGGACTTATATCTAGTTTGCAACAACATATGTGGCCATTTTAAAGGGTCCGTCAACGACCGTTTTGTTTTCAGCAACAAAACGCTACTAATCTGCTCTGGAAGGTTATGTCAAAGTAGCCTAACTTATGATTTATGGTAAGAACACTATGTTAATCTTCCATCATGACTTGTTCTAGCCAATCAAACGTTAGCACAAGTCTCATTCATTCAACATTAAAACAAATTTGCCGAAAATTAAAAAAATAGAATTTTCCAATACGTGATAAAGCTATAAAGGAAATATTTATGCTATTTTTGAAATTATTTCTTATTCTGAAAAAGAAAACTAATTAATTTGTGAATTTAAGTTCACCTTCTTTGGTTTTGCGTTAGTTTTACAACAAAGAAGTAATCACTCAAGTTACACACGAAGAAGCGTTGTTAAGTGTATGGTATTCTCAGTTAAAACTCATTTATTTCAAGAGTGACAAGATATCAGTCCTAGAATAACATAAGTTTCGGCCAGGAGATATATATTACAAAGTAATTCTAATTCTCTCAATTTGACGGACTTTCTGAAGAGAAAGAAACTATTCACAGTGTAAAAGTACAATGAACTCGCAATATTGTCTTTTGTACGACAAAACAACTGTGTGTGTGTGTATTTTTTAAACACGACGAATAGTCACCTTTATTGGAGAATGAGAGCTCAAGTTAATCTTTGTACAAACACTGAATTTAAGCCTCAATTGTGTCAAGTTTGAATAGTATAGTCAACCATGTAGAAACCTTTCTCGTGAGATGACAAAGTGATGCCCCTGATAAATGACACATAACAATGGACAGCTAGAGCAAAAGGATCTTAAGGTCTTGCATGACCAACGTGTAATGTGGAAACCGCTCACAAAAGAGAATAAATTAAGTATATAGAAAATTTCTATACTACAGCAAGAGGTAGAATCACATTCCTTCATACCACAGGTGTAATGCTTGTGGTTGTATTCGCAGTAGATTGAAAGCTTTTTTTTTTCTCTACATTTCCTTTAATTAATTCATTACCAATTGTAAATTAGAGGAGTGTTGAAGCAGCAATAAATCTACTTTATTTTTATTTACCACATGTCGTTCAGTACTGCACTCGTCAGTGGGGCTGTACATTATGGCGGACAAAAGCCAGGTTTTCAATGTTTAAAATTGTAACAATAAAATGATTGTTACTGTTTACATCAATCCAGTAAGCTTCATACAGTGGACATCGTGAAAGTATCGATAGCGTTCGTGGGTATGTGGAATAAGGAACTGAAGACTTGCATTTGGTAATAATATTAAACTATAGTTATACACCTGTTTTGAGCTAGCGAGTAAAGTAGCGGGATATCATTTAAGATAAACACAAAACTGAACATTTTACCACAAAACATTTCAGCTTATATGAAAATACACATTTTTATGAAAAATAACTCATTTCTGAGAAATTGTTTTGTGAATAATACATTCATAATATTTTGTGCAATTACCATAACACCAATAGACGTATTCAATGGAAAAAAATATCTTGTTTTTATTACTCTCATTACAATTTTCTAGTCATAGGTACAGGTGACTCTCGTTATACGCGAGAGTTGTGTTCCCAAGAATCGTCGCGTATATCGCAAATGCGTAAAACGAGAAGCCTACAACATGTAATACATAATAGAGGTTACGTTCTTAAACACATAAATTTTGCTTTTCAATTTAATCTCTAATCATCCTACTTCTTTTACTCATTAAAACACAGGAGCAAAAAATAGAATAAATAAATTTTTAAAATATTACTGTACTTTCAAAATTAATATGTATATACATTCATACATATAATGCACAAACATCTTGCTCTCCAGCTTAATTCGAAACCTTGGAAAGAATGGAAGGTGTGGAGGAAGCTGAAGGCTGCTTCTCCAAAGACTTTTTGATTGAAACTTGACTTTAATTTCTGATTATATTCCTCTTTATAACATTTAAAGGAATGTTCGACTTCCCTCCTCACCTTAGAACTTCTCATGAGGTCTGTTCATCAAAGAGAGCTGTCAATCAATTTGAAAGCCTGAGACATGATTTTTGTTGTGAGGGTCCTCACAAGCCGAATCTCCTCAGGACTTGAGTCAGATTCCTCTTTCATGTGCTCCTCCATAGCCATAAGATCTTCATTGTTCAGGTCCTCCCGGTACGATTCTAGCCTCATCCACACCGACTCCATCAAATCCAACCTGCTGGGCCATGTCAGCAATAGCTCTCTTTGAATTTGTAATTTCACACTCCATTCTGAAGTCTTTAACGATACTTACACATTCAGGCCAGAGTTTCTTCCACACTATACATACACTGAGACGACACTTCATCCCAGGCTTTGCGAATAATATCAATCGCCATCTTGATGTTAAAACGGCGCCAGAAATCCTTGATGCTGAGCTGCTTATTTGCATCATACTCCCTTATAAGCCTGGAGAAAGTTCGACGTAAATAATAGGTTTTAAAGGAAGCTATTACCCTTTGATCCATTGGATGGAAGATGGACGTGGTGCTGAGAGGAAGAAATAACACCTGAATATTTTGCTGAGGTCAGTGATGTTTCTTGGGTATCATCAACAACAAGAAGAATCTTGTCCTTTTCATAGTAGGCCTTCAATTCCTCGTGAAAAACATCCACAGATAATCGCCGATTTTATTCAAGTCCTTTTATTCGCTCTCCAAATGACAGACAATCTTATTTTTTTTCATACCTCTTTAATGTTCGCGGATTTTCCGAATGATAGACCACGAGAGGCCTTATTTTATAATCGCCGGAAGCATTGCCTCCCAAAAGCAAAGTGCAGCGGTGTTTAGCTGTTTTAAATCCAGGTCGTGTCTTCTCTTCAATCGAAATGTAAGTTCGACTGGGCATACGTTTCCAGAATAAATCTGTTTCGTCAATGTTAAACACCTGTTTTGGTGTGTAATCTCCTTCAGCGGCAACACGATGTACAGCTTCTCCAGTCATCTGCACAGAGAAATGTAAATTGCATTCTGAGAAAATATTTCGATTCTCGCGGGAAAGCGATTGAGTTACTTGTATGAAATTTACACAACTCTTGCTGTATGGCTAGAAATACAGAAAAAAAAAAACTGCGACAGTCACGTGACAGCCGATAGGAATACTACCGCCGAAATGAAACCACGAATATCGAGAGTCACCTTTATTTGTGTCAAAAAACCATGACTCCTATCTCTGTGTTATGAAATACTAGGAAGTGCATCGATTATCAAATTGAAACTTTATTTTGAAATAGCATTATCACAGGACAATCTCATAATCTTAACAATCGTTCATTTGTGATTAGCCACTAATTTGTTCCATATTTTGAAATTAATCATTACTGACACTCCTTATACATCCACGCTCGTCTATACAATAACGTTTCTTTGTTTGTTTTCAATTTTTGCGCAAAGCTACACGAGGGCTATCTGCGCTAGCCGTCCCTAATTTAGCACTGTAAGACTAGAGGGAAAGCAGCTACCCACCGCCAACTCTTGGGATTGATCGTCACATTATAATGCTCCCACGGCTGAAAGGGCGAGCATCTTTGGTGTGACGGGAATGAGGAAGAAATAATGCTTGGAGACGGCTTGAAGGGGTAATGAAGAAAAACTTTAATATAAGTTTAACATAACAGCAAATGTACAACGTTTGGACAAGGTTTTGTCATTATCACTTACAAGTAGCTTACACTGACACAGATATATATATACAGTATGGAACAAAGAGGTCAGATTGCGAGCCGAGCGCGCTAACCACCTGGCCATGCCGGGCCTATACAATAACCTATTACAAAGATAAATATTAATTGTTTTTAAAGTATAGATGATTAGCTTGTATGTTGAGCTTAAAATAAAACACAACACAATATAGAAATTTTATGTAACAATACAAATAAATCTGATACATTGTAACAACGATGGAATATTTTATTAAAATTTAAAGCCATATATGAAAATGGAAAATGTTTGCAGTATATATATTTGCATAAATGAAAAGCGTAATATTGCTAGAAATAAACATAATTTATTATTTATTATATTCATTATATGCTTTTAGCTTAATGAACATAAAATCTTTGTAACATCTAAAAATTTCATAATTTTTCCCAAAACGAAATGGGACGTGTTCACAAAAAGAACATTACAAAAATATCCTCACACACACACTTTAAGGGACGTGTTCACAAAAAGAACATTACAAAAATATCCTCACACACACACACTTTAAGGGACGTGTTCACAAAAAGATTATTACATAACTGTAAATCATTCAGTAAAATAACAATTCATTTATTACTGCTCCTCAGTAGCGCAGCGGTATGTCTGCAAACACACAACATTAGAATGCGGGTTTGGATACCCGTGGTGGGCAGAGCACAGATAACCCATTTATTCCTGTAAACATTTTTGCCTTTTCTTACTTATGTGTTACCTTATTGATCTAAATACAGCACGATAGTCCCCAGGTGGTACAGCGGTAAGTCTTTTGATTTACGGTGTTAAAATCCGGAATTCGATTCCCACAGTGGACGCAGCCCAAGATGTTCTAAAATAATCAAATCAATACAGCACGAGTATCTAATAATCTTCTAATGCAAGCATATATTAGAACAATTGTGGAAAATTTACGAATTAAAACGAAGATTAAATCAGTAATTTAATGTTAATAAAAGTATGGGGAATTAAAATATTACATGTTCACGAACTAGAATCACAATTCAACAAATATATAGACAAAATAAAATTATCTATAATGAATTTATGTTATTGAAAAATTCATCCAATAACTATTATACGCCCATCTTCTTCTAGATTTAATAAACTAATCCTGAAATGTTGCAGTTTTACGTTAGTGAAAAATACAAAGAACAAACAAGTGGTGTAGCAATGAATACTAAAATGGGATCAATTTTGCTACTCTTTTTTTTTTTTGGTAGTTATACTAGCGACATCTTTCGAAGCAAAACATTTGTTTAAAACCTTGTATAGCAACAATATGAAAGTATTTCACCCTTTATCTCTTCTTGTGTTCGTTTGTTTGAAGTTAAGCACAAAGCTACACAATGGGCTACCTGTGCTCTGCCTACCACGAGTATCGAAACCCGGTTTCTAGTGTTATAAGTCCGAAGACATTGGGGGGGCATCTCTTTAGGAGGGGTTTTCAACAGTTTATCATAAATTTATTATGGATTACACGTATCTTCTCTTTTTATTGTTCATTTCGGATTCCAATTTGTGAAGCATTTGTAATATCTTAGTTCCCTCGACTTTTATGAAAAGAAATGATTAATTTAATATTAATATTATTCCATTTGATAATTGCCCTCCCCCAGTAGCACAGCGGTATGTCTGCGGACTTACAACGCTAGAAATTGGGTTTCAATAGGGGGGGGGGGGGCAGCTCCATGTAATTACAAAGCGAATTGTTTTGTGCAGAGAGAGTAGGTGTTTGTTTTGTTTGAAGTTAAGCCTAAAGCTACATACTGGGCTATCTGTGCTCTGCCCACCACTGAAGTGGTACAGCGGTATGTCTGCGGACTTACAACACTAGAAATTGGGTGTGCTGTAAGTCCCACTATTCAGTCAGGAAATAATAACCAAAGAGTTTACTACGGATACTGTTGACTAGCCGGTGGTGGGCAGAGCACAGATAGCCCATTGTATAGCTTTGTGCTTAACTTCAAAAAACAAACAAACAAACCATTTCGATCATTATGTGGTATTTAGGTCAGTAAGTTATCACTAAAGTAAGAAAATGCAAATATGTTCACATGAATAACACTGCATTAATCGATCCGATATTTCCAAACAAACGTGTGACATGATCTGTTTTTAAACAAATTTGTATTTTCTCCTTTCTTCCAAATCCCTTTGGCTCTTGTGACGAACCTACTTCCTTCGGGTTGGAACACATTGGACCTTCAACATAGTCTGCCTTTCTGTATTCCTTTATCGTTGGTTTTGGTATGTTCAGACGTCTATCTCTACCACGCCTGTTGTGCTTTATAATGTGTGTCCACTTCTCGTGATCGTTGCTCAAGTCTAGATGAGTATACCTGGCTAAAATCCCTGGATCCACGTAGAAAACAATGACGGCAACTTTATAAGAATAGTTTTTACGTTTGGCCCAGTCAAGTGCATATTCAATCTCTGACGTTATGTAGAATCCATCATTGTGTGAAAAATCCTGAAAACCAGAACCCTCATTTAGCTGTATACCATTTTGGATAATATTATCTGCATGGTTATGAGAAGTTCCGTGGAAGAAAAGGCATTTTTCGTTCAATGATTTAAGGTGATCCCTAACTTGCTGTGGTAGGTTATACGGATCACAGTTGGTCAGGTTGATATAGTTGACCTCACCTTCTAGGACATCTTCATCCGAATCGTCTGGGTTGTCTCTTGAGACAGTCACTGTTTGCCATTCATCTACAATGTTCGGGTTGTACGGGTACCGACAAAAACTGTTAAGTAAAATGTCATAGCTAAACATGTTGTCAATGTAGGCTTCCATCCAATAGAGAAGTGACTGATGGTCTCGATATGGATTTTCTGATAGCCATTTCTTTAAGACAAGTGACCGGTTTTCGGTGAATCCAAGATGTCTCAAAGCATCGTCCAAGTTTTCACTATCTGTATTAGTTTCAAAGGAGTTATTTTCTATGAAATTATTCACCCAGTACTTTTCTGTCTGATGATGACGTATGTGTGTTGGCAGTTCTCTCAGATAATCTGTGAAGGAATCATTCATTCCTAGCACCAAACTGAGAACGTGTTCCGGAAATATAATGGCATCTTCATGAACCAGATGATGCAATTCTTCTGGGTTCATTTGATTGACGATTTTTTGTATACATCTTTTTTCTTCATTTAATGTTGAAAACTCTACTAGTTTAGTGTGTGTAAGAGTTGTATAGTATAAAAACACTTCTTCCAAGAAATATGTATACTTAATCAAATGTTCTTTAAGATTTCGAAGCTTATTTATAAATTTCTCATTAAGCTTCTTGGTCTTTTTGAAATCCTCTTTAAAAACTTCCGAAGCAGGTCTTGGTGGATATTCTGATGTTTTCTCTACAAGCTCTGTCAGCTTTTTGTTGTAAAGTATTACAATTCCCAGCAAATTTATAGCATCTTTTAAACTTTTATTTTGAACTGAATATTTTGTTGTTTGATCTGATATTTGGTCGCGATTCTGATCATAGTTAGGTGTGGCACTTGCAAGATCTCGAGTTTGGAGTGGTTGAGCTTCAGCAAGATCCTGTTTATCTGGGGATGCCGCAGTCCAAAAGCCTTGTACAATACCTGGAAAATGTATTGTAACTTCAAGTGTAACTAACTGTCCAACTTTAAACCTTGGAGTAAATGTTTTCTTTGTCATTTTTTCAAAATAACTCTGTGTGTCAGGGAAAACTCTTTTTAGGTATTGGTCGAGAGTTTTATCCAGTTTATTAGACGATGAGTCAGCTGGTAATGCAGGTAAATCTGCATTGGGATGGTTTACCAGTTCTCGTCTATGTAGATAGGGAGAGAATGCGTTTCCCATGATAAACCTGTAATACAATAATAAAAAAATATATTTTAAAGAAGGTTGAACAAGAATATTGGTGCGACCAGAGAGAATGGTTCGCTTTAGTTCATTAAAATATTTTTTTTTACGTTGAATTTTACAGAAACCTACGTGTGTGTGTTGGGGGACCTATCTGCGCTAACCGTCTTTAACTTTGAACGGAGATGCAGCCAGATCTTGGACTACTCTGTACAAACGAATAGTGAGATTAAGCAAAACTTTATAAAGCCATAGTGGTAAAAAGATTAGATCTCGCAACCCACAGGTTGTGAATCGCGTGCTCTAATCATTAGGCTAAGCCAGACCCCAATTAAATGTAATCGGTAATTATTGACCTATGTGGAAGTTCGGTATTTGGCAGATATTTTTATTCTTTGCGTCTCTGTCAAGGTTAGTTTTAGTAAATAAAAAACAGTATCTGTCTTTATTAAAACTTTTATGCTACTTAAATACGAGGAGGAGAATTGCCCTTATTAAGTGTGTTTCTTTTTTCAAATAGTTTTTTTTAATTGAAGCTCTAAATAGGTAATTGCTAGTTTAAGGAATGAAACATTACACATTGTTACGACAGCAGAAGTCGCGTGACGCTGGGAGTATGCGCGCTGGAGTTTCTCGAATTATCGAGGAACCCCGCGAATGTCCGAGCGTTTGCTAGGCGCCCTCTTTTTAAATATATAAGCTTGGGGAGAAAAATCAGCGGGAGCAGATAGAAGTGGAAGTAGATATAGATA